GTAATTCAGCCAACCTTATAATGAGAACTTCATTTTGATTTTCTTCAACTTGAGCTCTGTGGCTCAAGTGTCCAGGGCACACTTAGAAACCTTTAGACTGTTTGAGTGCATCTGGAACTGGTCAGTTTTACTGCTGAGTCTATTGTTGTCCTTCCCCTTATAATGAGATGCTAGAAGTTGGTTAATCCTGTGACTGAGTTCACTCTTTTCCTTTGTCAGTTCATCCAGAGATGCTTGGAGCAATCAAACAGTATCTTCAGTTTTCTTGTTTCCTACAAACTTTCAAAACGTTTTGTGTTCAGAGTTACCAAATCCATTGCCCCTCACGAGCGGAGAATCAGGATAATCACATGTATTTGTCTCAAGTTTGGAAAATAGTTCACACCATGGGCTTTCAGTATTCTCCAAGCTTCTAGGAGAGGCTTCAGTAACTAAGTAGGTTTTGGGAAATTGCTATTCCAGATACTTAGACAATTCATCCTTATACTTTTGTTGTTATGGAACCATTTCTGGTACCAAAAACTGTATTAGCAGGGTTCTCTAGAGAACAGAACTTACGGAATGAATCTGTGTATCTATCTATCTATCTATCTATCTATCTATCTATCTATCTATCTATCTATCTATCGGATTTATTAGAATGGCTTACAGGCTGTGGTTCAGTTAGTCCAACAATGGCTGTCAACTAACAGAAGGCCCATGAATCCGGTAGTTGTCTAGTTCATGAGGCAGGATGTCTCATCTGGTCTTTAGTATATGCCTGAATCCTAAAGAAGTAGGCTATAATGCCAGTGAAGAAATGGGCATACCAGTGACAGCAAGAGAAAGCAGGCAAACAAAACAAAGCAAAACAAACAACAACCAAACAAAAACAAGCAACCTTTTCCCATATCATTTATATAGGCCACCAGCAGAAGGTATGGCCCAGATTAATTAAAGGTGGATCTTCTCATCTCAAAATATCTGGATTGAAAGTGGGTCTTCCCACTTCAAATGATTTAATTAAGGAAAAAATCACTCCCAGCTGTACCCAGCCACAGGGTTTTAGTTAATTCCAGATGCAGTCAAGTTGTCAGCCAAGAATATCCATCACAGCCATGAAATGTGAAGGTCACAAAGATTATCTGGTATATAGCTTCAGCTATTATGGCAAAAAATAAGAACATATTGTTTGGCTTGCTGATCAGGCATGGTGTCTTTTCAAAGCTTGGCAGCTCAATGTAATTAGTATACTAATAGCATTCGTATTGGATACAGTGTGAGTTTGGAATGTAATTGAAGCTGTCATACACCATTTAAATGAGATCTTTGGTATTGTTGGTTATTTATCATCTCTGTGTAAATATCACTTGCCCTCCCTTGCTAATATACTCAGTGAAAACTTTCAAAAATGATAGTGAGATTTTCGTCTTTGCCATCTACTGGATACAGTTCTGCAAAAGTTTAAGGAGCTTAGCAGAGTCATAGTAAGGCACACTGGGGTGCAATTAGATGGGGTACGTTTGGATGGGGTGCATTTGGATGGGGTGCATTCAGTGCATGGCCAGTGCTTCCATCATAGATATAAGCAACACTCACACACTGTTTTATTGCTATTTCTCCAGTTCCCAGGAATGTCATCGGTCAACCTGAGAAAGTGGTGTGTGCTACTAGTGGCTGAAGGAAAGCCTTTCATAGGCAGTGATGTATCCTCTTGCTATCATGAGTCAACAATTTTTATAGAGTCTCGTTTGGGAAGAGTTAACACTGAACTCAAGTCTGCCCACTTTCATCGCCCTTTGTGGAGAGCTAGAAATGTAGGGATGGCTTTATCCACAGCCATAAGGAGCCTGTGGTAGAATACCCATATGACTCCCCAATTTGGCAAAAATCAACTCCGGTGCCATATATGTGTAACATGACAATTTCCTAATGTTCCATGTGTACTTGAGAATTCTGGGATACCCTCAGAAGCAAGTTCCTGAGACTATTCCTTCCAAAACCCTGTGCGTGTGTGAGAGGCAGTGTTCTGGAATTTCTGATACCACACTAAAACTCAGTGCTGTGTTTCTTGAGAAAACCTGTTGCTCTCTCCAAGGATGTACTCCATGCACTCATTTAGAGAGGGTGGGGCACAGATCATGTTAGTAGAGGTTAGTCCTATGGATGTCTTAGCAAGAGAGTGGTTACTCTTGAAGCAAGCACATGCTAATGCTGGAAACCGTGAACTTTTTGTTGACTTCCTACAGGAGCAAAAGACTGAAATTACCTTTTGTGGCATTGTTAAATTCCTTTTCTATAACTCTGTCCCTTGTCTTTTCAGAATGTGGAGGCAATTTTTGAGACAATGTTTCTCTGTGTAGCTTTGGAGCCTGTCCTGGAACTAGCTCTAGTAGACCAGGCTGGCCCCGAACTCACAAAGGTCCACCTCCCAAGCACTCTGTCTCCCAAGCACTCTGATTAAAGGTGTGCGCCACCACTGCCAGGCTTCAATGTATTAATCTTAGATAAAGTGCATCAGAATACTTTAAACAATACAGTAGCATGCCTTGTTATAGAGAATTTTTTTGTCATCATTCCATCCATTCATTGTTTTTAATGTTTAAAAACATCATTCATTGTTTTTAATGAAAATATTGAGTGATTTCATGTCCTTTGATCTGTTAGCCATGGTAGAGCAGTTTCCATGGAGTCTGAGATGTTTGAAATGAGCCTTGGTACAGGGCTGGTTGAGAGATACCCAATGGGGATAAGGACCTACCAGAGAAGATAGATTTTTCTTTTTCAAACAGGAGAATAAACTACAAGGAATAATAGAAGGAAAGGCAAGTAGCTGCTGATATTGCCATACTTTTGAGACCTCTATGACCCAATATTATTTTTCTGATCCATTTTTGTTAGCAAAGTTTTCATTGTAGGTCTTCTTTATATACAATTTTATCTCATTTATCTCAAGTGTTTGACTATTAATTTAGCCAGCACATACATATTCTTTCCTTAGGGCTGGGTAAGAGCTGACTTGGAAACAATTTTTATTGTTATTACTTTCATTAAGCAAATTTAAGTATAGTAGATACTGTGAATTAACCAGGATTTCCTAGCACTAATATCATCATACGTATGTGGTTATATACAAACCCTGGCTTTCCACTGAGGGCCTTGTACAAAGTTACAGTGAGGATAGACTATGCTCATTCATAGTGCCATTGTTTGCTTCTTTCACTGTGTGGGCAAAGTAAACAGGGTGTGATGAATACAACCTCTCTTTGTCCAGTATCACAGCTACAGTTTTCATGCCAATATTCAAGTTCTCAGTAGCAGCTTGTGGTTCTCCACTGTCCATGGAGGAAATAGATCGCTGAGACCAAGCCATCATGTGCAATGGCCACAGTAGGAAATACGATAAAGAGTAACCCCAAGGGAGAAGGTCCTGCAGTCTCTGAGTTGTGTTTCATCATTGATAGTTGTTCCAAAAGGAATACACACAGTCACACAATATCATACTCGCACAATCACTTACCCAACACACAGTCACATAATATGACACACATATACAACCACACACACATACAGCCCCCACACACAGTCACACAATATCACACTCACACACACAATCACTTACACAACACACACACTCACACAACATGACACACATATACAATCACACTCACACATACAACAGTCATACAATATCACACACATATAATCATAATCACACACTATCACTTACACGCAATCACTTATACATACACACAAACACACACAGTCACACACACATACAACATACACACAGTCACACAATATCACACACATGAAATCACAATCACACAATATCACACTCACACACACATACAGCCACACAATGTGACACACACATACAGACAATCACACAATCCAAGAAATGTCTCATCTACTATTTAAAGTAGCTCATTTTCCAGTATGTGCTGGGCACTCCTCAGCAACCCTGTGTCTTTCTCTGTCATTCCAATATGAAGTTTCTCCTGTTACTGAGAACAGATTTTAAATTGTTTGGGGTCATCTGTTTTTTTGTTTGTTTGTTTGTTTGTTTTTGTTTTTATTATTTGTTTTCTCTGCCTGATTTAGAAGAATACTTTTGTTTTCTTCCCAATGGCATCTGTAGTATATTCATGCACTTAATAGGCATAGAAGTAATGACACTGAAGGAGGAGGTGCCTCTTTAATCTGCTAGGTACGCAGACCTAACACAGTACTCAGGAGACACAAAAATTTTGGTTGAATTAAGTGGTAGAATTTGTAATATTTAAGGAATTATATTTAAACATAATTTGAGCATGCTGTTCTAGAGTCTGTTTAAGACATATGGTTATAAATAATGAATTAGTATTTATTTTAGCAAAACCATTTAGGAATTAATTAAGCCTATTATTGTGAATGCTGTAGATGTTTTGATATTACAGACCTCAAAAATGTTTCCCTGGTATCTCTAAATCTATAAATGTCCTGCATATCCATGGATGGAGGACTTACAATCAGTCCTCTTAAGCTTGATGACCAAGCAGGAAGCGAACATAGTACAAATATATCACAGAAAGGCCATTTCTTTTTCACACCCAGGGCCATAAAAGATGGAGAAAATTTTGATACTGGGTGGGAAGGTTTTGTAAAAGCACACATAGCCACAGCACCGAGTGACTTCTTTCTGATCCAATTTCATAAATTGCTACATGAGGAAGCGCTCTCCAGTAGATAACACTCAGAAATCAGCACTTAATATGGCAGTAATGGTTATTGCTGTCATTCTTTACATCTTTAAAAATAATTAAGCATTACTGCGCAGGCATTATAAAGTTCCCCTATCACCATTAAGAGGATATTTGAGGTTTGATGTAATTTAGCAAATTACATTATACAGTAGTTAAGGTTTTATGCAGTGGAGTAAAATGAGTAGTAGTTAAGCACACTTACCATACAATGCATTGTACAGAGTTACATGTTCCAACTGCTGTCAGCTTTGTTCCAGTGTCATTATTGCTTTGCAGGCTGACGTTCCTCAGGGAGTGATTCGAGTGCAAGCTCCCCATCTTTCAAAAGTTTCCATGGCAATACAGCTAACTGAAGAACTAAAAGCCAGCGATGTACTTGCCAGGTTTCTCAGCCAAGAAAGGTAAAGGCCTGTTTTAATTATTCTGTGGGATAACTCATTTTTTATATATATTCTCTCTCTCTGTCTCTCTCCCGTGTGTGTGTGTGTGTGTGTGTGTGTGTGTATGTGTGTATACATGTATGTGTCTTCCCATTAGAAGAACAAAGCAGACTTGACAATTAGACCACTGGAGTGAACAGTGGAAATTTATCAGAGGTAGCTTGTGTTCAGGTTGATTCTGTTTTAGGCAACATGTGTGAGTAGCCCTCCACCATTTGCCTGCAGTGAGCTTGGCAAATGAAACTACTCCACCGTCTTTCCAGAACACGTTGGTTGGAGGTTAATTACTGTTTGTAGGCTGTTACGAAGATTGCTAATTAGGATACAGCAAGATTAAAATGAAGACGTAACTTTCTCTGTGAAATTTAATGAATAAGAAAGAAATGTTCCAATTTGAAAACTGAAAGCTTGGATGATTGAGAGAGGACACCCAATCCCTGAGGTCTAAAGTCACGAGAAGAGAACAAATTGTCCTCATTAGGGACATCCACATCCTTCCTTGTCCTGGGGCAGATGCTACAGGTGCTTAGAAGCTCTGCTCTCCCTCACTGCACTCACTACAGTCTGTACCCTCCCATTCATCCTCTCTCGAATTTGAGAGGTCCTGATAAGCTTTCCCATTTAAATACCTCATTTTTGGCTAAAGTCAGTTTTAATGACATTCCCCCTATTTATGTTATGAAATTAAAATTTTTTAATGGTGTGTGTGTGTGTATAAAAATTTGTGGAGTCCATTCTCTTTCCATCCTGATATGGATTCTAAGCACGGGACTCAGGTCACCAGGCTTGTACAACAACCTCCTTTACCCACTGAACCATCTCAACAGCCTCAATCTAAAATTCTTGAAAAATAAAAAATCCAGCATCGAAGTTTGTAAGTATCCTATTTTAGACTTTCCTTGAGGTTAGTCTCATTCTAACAATGGGGCTTCAGGCAGATTGTCTGCTGTTGTCATGCATGTATAGTACCTTATGCTTATGTTTGTACTCCAACTAAGACTCTGAACTTGGTGTTAGGGAAGTAGAAACCTTCAAATAACCACCATCTTCCCATCTCATAAGTTGGGAGAAAGGATGGATCTCCAAAGATGGTGGTGAAGAGGGATGGGGACTTTTGGATAATAACTCAGCCTCTTGCAAACCAGCTTAAACTTCCTTGCAGTAGCAATGGGCCTCAAATACGATCATTCCTTCTGCTTCACTGATAAGAACTTGACTGTGGAACATTTTTATCCCAGGACACACAGCTGGAAATATGACCCTATATTTGTGTCCACAGAGGCAGCCCGTAAAGTTCTCTTTACACCAGCTCCTGGGAGTCACATTTGGCATTAAGACCTGAATTCAGTCTCTCAGAATCGAGGGCTGGAATCATTAGGAATTTCTCAGATTGGTCCTTTCTCCCTGGAGTGTCTCAGCTACAATGAAGTCAACCCTCTCTCTTGCTGCCCCCCACCTTTGAGTTTCACATGCCACATTTGACCCCTTTTCTCCAGCGGCATGTTCCATTCCCTCCCAGAATGTGTCTAGAGATATGGGTACTTGAGTCAGGAGCATCCTACAAGCTCCAAGAACTCAGTTCTGCTCATCTTCCCTACTTCGACTTTCTGAGCATAAATCCTTGTGAAATTGTACAGTCTGTTCAGCTGGGACTTTAACACTTTTCGGTGTAACACGAAACAGTAGTCAGTATATTCAAATGCATGCTATTCCATCTTCAATAGACTGCTACTTTCAATGATAACATTTTAATTTATTTTGTGTGCATTTATATGCTCATGGTACACACGCCACAGTGCTTGAATCACTTTTCTCCTTCTACCAGGCGGGTCCTGGGTCATCAGGTTTGACAGGTTCCTGCTGAACATATCCTCTGTCCTAAGTTAAAGTCTCTGTTCTCCATTAGGAAGAGCAAGACAGAATAGCACTTCCTTATAGTCTTGTGGAAGTTGACTAGGAAAGTGGCCAATAAGTCAGTCCCCTTGATGTTTATCTGGGCCACAGAGTGACAGAAGTGCTCAGTAATGCTTGTACTGTACTTTTCCTCTGCCACATACTTGCATCCCACCTGTTTGGGACAGCTAGGGAGCTCTCTTTCCTTCATCATTCACTTTCCAACTGTCTCTGTCAACGCCAATGAACACACGTGAGCACAAAGTACAATAAAGTGGCCATTCATTCATCAGTTTTTAGTAAAGTATGGATGCCTTTCCATCAGTACTTAGGGAATTGTTGACTTTACATGAAAGCGATTCTATCGCATAAATTTTTTCAGCTTTCTGTAAAATGAAAAAAAAACTATATAGACACTTGGGAACCACTGTGAGTGCATTGGACTAGATTCTTAAAAATAACGTCTTTTTTTATTTTTTTTATCTTACATATCAATCCCAGTTCCCTCTCCCTCCCTCTTTTACTCGCTCCCACCCTCATGCCCCCCAGCCACCCTCCCCTCCCACCCTGTCACTCTACATGTAGGGTGATGCCCTCCAGGAGGGGTCATCTTAATCTGTCAAGTCATTTGGAGTGGGACTAGGCCTTCTCTCCTGTCTCTAGGTTAAGGCAGTATCCCTCCATGGGGGATGTGCCCCCAAAGTCCTTTTGTGCACCAGGGATAGATACATCCTGGCTCCACTGTCTGAGGTCCCTTAGACTGCCCAAGCTTTCTAAATGAGACCCATGTTCAGGGGGCCTGAGTCAGTCCCATGTTGGATTCCCAGTTATCAGTCTGGGGGCCTTTAGCTACTCCTTGTTCAGGTCAGCTGTCTCTATGTGTTTCTGTAACCTAGTCTTGTCCTCTCTCTCTCTGCAACTGGATTCCAGGAGTTCGACTCAGTGTTTAGCTGTGGGTGTTTGCTTCTGTTTCCACTACTAGATGAGGGCTCCATGATGGTGGATAAGTTAGTCATCAATCTCATTATCAGGGAAGGGCATTTATGGTAGCCTTTCCACTGTTGCTCAAATTGTTAGTTGGGGTCAGTCTTGTAGGTCTCTGGACATTTCTCTAGAGTCAGTTTTCACTTCAAATCTATAATGGCTCCTTCTATTATGTTCTCTCTCTCTGTCTCTCTCTCTCTGTCTTCTCTTTTCTATTCCTCCCCTGTCTCAATCTTCCTAGTCTCAAGTGCTTCCCTCTCCTCCCCTTCTTTTTCTTTTAGTCCCCTCACTACTGTCTTTTATAACATTCTTTGGCAGTGGGGGGCTTTATAGCCATAGTAACTCTTGGTTGGAATCAGAGTGTGACCATTGGATGGCATACAAGGCAGCAGGAGGAGCTGAAGTTTGTACACAGCCCTGGGCTGGTAGTGATGCCCTGGGCACAGTGGCAGGGAGAGAATCGCATAACCAGAGAATCATTAATGGGGTGCTTAGAAAAGCTGTTGTTGTGCCAGGATTCCTTATAGCTGGAGTAGACTCAGACTTGCTGATTTTCTTCCTGCCTACATGATGCATCTCCTCTGGACTTCCTACACATGTCTGTGCACCATGTGTACATGTCTGTGGAGGTACAAAGAAGGTATTTGGTCCTCTGGAACTGGAGTTACTGCTGGTTGTGAGTTACCTTGTAGTTGCTGGGAAGCGGACCCCAGGCCTCTGGAAGAACAGTCAGTGCTCTGAACTGCTAAGCCATCCCTCCAGCCCCTTTCCTTTGGACCTTTACTTTATCAGCAGCCCACAAACTTTTCTGTTCACATAATCTACATACCACAGAGGATTTTCAAAGCAAAGTCTTGAACTTTCTCCTGGAAATGTAAAGTTTGGTTCTAAAATTTTGGCAGGTTCCTGAAGTAATTCTTTTACAGAAACCTTTGAAAAATCACTGAGTTATAATTTGTGTGTGTATATGTGCGTGATTAACATTTGAGAAAAGTTTACTTTTGTAACCATCATGTAAAACCTAAAATATACAGAGTTATGGAGTAGTGAGAAGCTCCCATTCCTGGATATACTGCATAATGTCAAAACATGGCTAATTGTATCTGTATAACTTAACCTTCAGTGGCTTTCTATAGTATGTAGAAAATTCTATTTTTTTGAAGAATGTAAACGTATAGATGTAACATACGGTGTGAACAAATGCTAGTGCAATGAGGAAACTGAGTCAGTATCTTGACCCTGTGAAGTGTGGATAATCATATCAATAATCACATGATATCAGTGTTATATTAACTTGATTTTCTGGTGTTTACAAATTTAGATTCTGATTATTCTTTTGCTTCCAGATATCTGTTTCTATTTATTTCATTTTCAAGTGTGACAGTTTTAGTTACCTGTAAGGTACATTTAACAGATGGGAAAACACAAAAGTATGTAGCTGCAGTAGGCCTAACTTATGAATTTTCTATGATAGCTAGAATTTCCTGGTCTGCTAAACTGGTTTACTTGTAAACTGGTTAAGGATGCAACTAATCAGTCTGTCTTACCCTTGACAGTGGGGTTGCCCAGACACTTAAGAAAGGAGAAATTTTTCTGTATGAAATTGGAGGAAATATTGGTAAGAAAATTTTCATTCTATATGCTGATTTAATGTTGCAAGTGTTTGTTATTTATATGTTTGCAAGAAAAATATTTCTATATTTGAAAGTAAGCACACCATGCCTTAGACAGTTTCTGTATAATATGGGTTTATTTAGTGGTCAGACCTTTCTTCCCTGGACCTCTTTTTGAGCTCCTTTTGTCCAATTAATCATTCATACTCAGCCTTTGTATATTTAACTTTTCATTTCACAATTAGAGCTTGGAAATCAGTGTGCTTTCTTAGCTGAATTCAAGACTGCTGCTATGTTTAATGCAGGTGAGGTTGATTTTAAAGGAGCATTAAAGTTCATCCCCTTGGCGAATTCTTTAAATGTTGCCGTGAGAAACAGGGAAAAAGGACAAAGATTCTGAAAGCTAAGATTGTTTAACCATTGCGATTGATTTTATGATTGTATCTGCACTCACACACTGTCTTAACTGGTACCACATCTCCTTCACAGGGGAACGTTGCCTTGATGACGACACATACATGAAGGACTTGTACCAACTGAACCCAAATGCTGAGTGGGTCATAAAATCCAAGCCACAATAGAAGACTAACCAGAGGACTAGTGTCATCATTCTTGCTGGGTCAAGAGTGTAAATAAAAGTTACGAAGTGACACCCCCCCCATGCCTTAAAATGATAGATGTTTGTGGCTTTTACAATTGTTAATTATTATTAAGGAAACAAATATTTTTGGAGTTAAGTGGAAAGGGGTGTGATTAGCTTGTGGGCTGTTCATACACACTCTAAGATATGTTCAGATGTGACAGCTGTTTGGTTTTATTTTTGTTTTGTATGAAATAAATTCTCTACCACTTTTTTGTTGGGGAGGACTGCTGGGTATTGAAGCAGAACTTTACTCCTGATGACCTTTATGACACCTAGTGATATCCCAAGCACATTAAACCATCTTTGCTAATAGATTTACCAAAGAGGTTTGGGTTTATTTACATTTTAAGAATGGTCTCCCCCCTTTCTTACCTCTTCCTGCCTACCTTCCCTCAATAAAACTTGCCTTTTTTTTTTTTTTTTAACCAAAAAGAGACAGTTAACAGCAGGTGTGTGAAGCTGTGCAGGCAAACCTAACTCAACAGTATTCTTGTTACCACACAATGTTAGTACCCATGGCTCTGAATCCTCTGTCTGAGCATCCTTCCTGCAGCATCTTGTTTTATTCCAGCTTATCTGACTTCTGTGCACAAATCTCTATCCATCATCAAAACCTAAACTGTTAGGAACATCCAATCATCACCAAAGCATAAAACGTTTAAACACTCCAGAGAAATATGACCCACACAGAATAACTGAGTCACCTCTGACCACAATGGGAAAAGCCAGATCACTTTGTGTGCACCACACTCTTCCAGATGGAATCTGGAAAGGAATATATGAAGTTACCTGGCAACATTATAAATATCATAATAGTACAACCTGGAACAACTGGAGAATGCATTGTGAAATGGCACTTTCTGTCCCCACCCCTTTCTCCCAGAATGAGTCTTCTGGGTGTGACGATTGTTGTTGTCAACAATTTTGCCTGTTTTCATGTTTTAAATAATCTGAGTGAACTTATAAAGATGGCACAGAAAGTATTGTTCCCAGGGCTTTTCGTGCACAGACCATACTGTGACACCACCACATGGATCTCTGCTGAAAAAAAGAGAAGTGAAATATGGTAGAATGTCATCGATGACAGGAGGCGCGTATAGATGTGGCACCAATGTGTCGATGACAGTGTTCATAGTTCTGCAGGGGAAGCTGCACATTCTCAGAAGCTCTTGATGCCACTCTAATTAGGAAGGAAAGTGCCGTTAATGAGAACAGCGAAATGTTGAGCGTATAATTACAAGAGCAGCCTGTGGATAGATGCTTCAGTAACGCCATGGTGATCTGTGCCATTGCTTTTTTATTTAAAGAAATTTTATAATTAAAAGCCTTTTTCTAAACGATCTTCTCTTGGAATTATTACTTTTATTCCAGTGTGTTCATGGGTCTCCTTTTGTCTTTTTTAAAATTATTTTAATTAACAGTCTATTTTCATTGTAATTAAGCGTCATCTGCTCTCCTATTAGTTCTACTTTCCTGTGTAGTTTTTAAGTTTGAAAGACGTGTGAGACAAGCTTATTTCTTTCCTCGTTATCTATTTTTCTTTACGTAAATGTCCATCCTTTGGGGCTTTCAGAACACATTTTGTGCTGTTTCTTATTATAAGAGTATGTTCATTTCATGGGTAGCAAAATGTTTTATTGATGGTTTGGTTTAAACAATGAACAACTCTAAAGAAAAAAGATTTGCTTAAAACATTCAGGGATCCATAACAACAACAAAAGGACAGGAGTCAGGATAGTAATTTAAAGAAGTATTCCTAGAACACATGTGTCAATTGATTCTTAGCACACGGACTGCTTACCCAGGAAGGCTGGAAGAATTCCTAGGGTTTTCGTTTGTTTGTTTGCTTGCTTGCTTGCATGTTGTGTTGTGTTTTGTTTGTTTGTGTGTTGTTTGAGACCTCATTTCTCTGTGTAGCCTTGGCTAGCCAAGAACGCACTCTTGTAGACCAGGCTGGCCTTGAACTCACAGAAATCCCCAAGTGCTGAGATTGAAGGCATGAGCCACCACCACCTAGCTGAGTTCTCAGGTTTTGCTGGGGAAATGAAAAGGCCTTTTTACTCTGAGTCATTCTTAGAACTCATGGCTTAAATCCATTGGCACTGAACAGTGCATTTTAATAATGCATATACACATAATAATGCAACATATATACATATATATGCACACACACACACACACACACACACACTTTACTCTTAAAGAAGAGAATTTCATATTGTGGAGCCTCAGATACATGTCCTGACATTAACTCAAATGCTTTTACTGTGATTTTTTTTTTTTTTTTTTCTTTCCAGTAAGTCTGAATTTTCAGTGTACATCTGTTTGGTTGGGAAAAGGACAGTGAAGTGAGAGGAAACACATTTGCTTTGAGTCGCAAACATTTTAACACTTATAGGAGTTACCGGTGGGAAATCTGAGAGCCAGTGATTACAGAAGAATGCTCACCTTGCTTACCCCTCCATGCAGCTTCCTTCTGTCCTCTCCTCGTTCTGCTTTTCCTGCTTTGCTACCTCACCCTCTGGCATAATCCTTCTCGGTATTTCTGGGGCTTCTTATTCCTTTCACTGGTACCACCTTCACTTAGCATTGTTACAGAAATTGCTCTAAATTCCTTGTTGACTATCTCTGGGAAAAGTCAATTATTTTCTCAAGTTTGTAGAACTGCTTTACACTTTGTATTGTCCCGATTTCCCATATACTTGTCAGTAGGTGGCAGTATTGGGCAGAGATTCCTTCGAATCAAGTGAGCAACTTTTAAACAATGAACAGAAGTTTATAACAGAACACATGTTTCTGTGACTTGGTGGGTGCCAGCTACCTCCAGCAGTTAGATAATAACACTGTGAGGCTGTTTTAATTACTCACTCTGCAATTGTAAGTAATAATTAATCTCAGGTGTGTGTGTGTGTGTGTCTGTGTCTGTGTCTGTGTGTGTTTAATGTCTGCTTTGTCTTTAATCCCTTGAATGAATATGTGGCAGGTATATCAGTTCCAGAATTAAATTTTAAGTAATCTCTACTTTAAGAAGAAAAGGGACTGTAAGTGAGGTGGAACAGCAGGAGGAGAGGGACAAGGAGCTTGGACACAGAGGCATTTCGTTGTCATTTGTTTCTGCATTTCAACAAATCGGACACTTCCTGGACTTATTGGACACTTACATGCATGTCAAGCAGACTGTACCCTTGAGATTCCTTAGTGGACAAAATAACTCAAAGCATTGACCCCATTGGAGTCAAGTAATGAGTTAAGCAAAGTCTTAAGTGAATAGAAATGTAGAGTATAATCAAAGGCAGTGAGGACACTGGGGGTAGAAAGAGATGAACAAAACAAGTAGAGCAAGGGCTGGAGAGATGAGCATGTGATAGCATGAAATGGGAGGGGTCTCCTTGAAGCATTGACAAGTAAATGAAGACTTGCAGAAGCAGGGATTTTCTGTGTGGATCTTTGGAATGATGTTCTAAACAAAGGGAACACTTAGGATCAAGGTCCACTGTAGGAATGTGCCTTGTCAACAGTGTGGCTGGAGGGGAGTTAGGGCCAGTGAGAGCAAAGGCCAGAGAGGGAAATGCAAAGACAGGTTCCAAGATCATCAGAGCCTTGCATTAGAGGGGTGGTAATGTAGTGATCATCTCAAAATAGTCAGTTAAAGAGAGCAGAGAGGGAGTTAGGAGAAAGAGAAGGGGAGGAGAGAACATGTGGGACCAGGAAGATTGAGTCGGGGGACAAATAGACAAGAGCAGGGTGGGGGGGGGGATATCATAATAGAGGGAGCCATTATAGGTTTAAAGAGAAAACTGACTCTAGAGAAATAATGTCCAGAGACCTACAAGGATGACCCCAACTAACAATGTGAGCAATAGTGGAAAGGCTACCTTAAATGCCCTTCCCTGATAATGAGATTGATGACTACCTTATCTGCCATTGTAGAGCCCTCATCCAGTAGCTGATTTAAACAGAAGCAGAGACCCACAGCTAAACACTGAGCCGAACTCCTGGAATCCAGTTGCAGAGAGTGAGGAGTGATAAGAAAAGTGGTCAAGACCAGGCTAGAGAAACCCACAGAGACAGCTGACCTGAACAAGGGGGAGCTCATAGACCCCCCCAGAATGATAGCTGGGAACCCAGCATTGGACCGACTCAGACCCCCTGAACTTGGGTCTCAGTTAGAAGACTTGGGCAGTCTAAGGGACCTCTAACAGTGGAACCAGGGTGTATCCCTGGTTCATGAAAGGACTTTGGGAGCACATTCCCCATGGAGGGATACTCCCTTAGCCTAGAGGCAGGGGTGAGGGCCTAGTCCCTATTCCAAGTGACTTGACAGATTTTGATGATCTCTCCTGAAAGGTATCACCCTCCCTGTGCAGTGGAGGGGGGGGATGAGGTGTCGGGGAGCGAGGGAGGGAGAGGAACTGGGATCAATATGTAAAATAAGTATATATATATATATATATTATATATATATATACACATACATACACATATATATATATATGTATATGAAAAAAGGGGGGCCCTATTGGCAAAATCTATAGCTGCTAAGTAATGAGACATCATCATGGTCATTCCACACAGTGAAGGTAGAGCCTACAGGCTTTCTGGCAGGAGGCAAGAATGTATAATCACAAGATTTTTATCTTGGCTGTTCATAGGGTGGAGTCTGGATAAACTGTGCCCTTGGGTAAGATCGAGGGAGGGAGTGTGGATTTTATAGAGAAAACAGGAAGCCCTAGAACTTCCTGGTTTTGGAGGCCAGGATGTGAAGGAAGCAAGGTAGAATCAGACAGAAACCTCACCTAAATTAAGAGATATAGCGTATGACAAGTCTTGTGGAGGAAAACCACCAAAAGTCATAGAAGCTCTTCCTTGTAGCACAAATAAGCTAGGACTGATCGATCATGGATTTACCTATGTGAGGTCTTTGTAGATTCTAATGCCTAGTTGAAAATATTAGGGGTGATTATAGGAGGGCTAAGTTTTCTTAAAGCAAACCGTTTCTTGACAAAGAAGACTAAGTGTGGCTAACTGCCAGGGGAGGCAGGCGATCTGGTGTAGGTGAGGTTTTGAAGTTTATTTATTTCAGTAATATTTTGAGGAAAGCTGTCATGGGTGCATGGGACAATATTAATATGCCTATTTTAATGTGACGTTGGGCACATTTCTTACCTGAGCTTCATTTTCTGTTTTGTATAAGGATGATAATGGGGATATTCACTTTTTAGTAGCTTATTAGAATCTGCCAAGAGCTCAGCAACATACTAACCAGATAACAAGCAGTCAATAAGTGGCAGTATTTGTATTAGTGATTTTAATGATTAATATCAGCACTGTATAGTAATAATTCTTACAATATCATGCTAGCGACCTACTCTTTTTTCCCCTCAATATGAAGTGTAGGTGCAATAGACATCATAATACAGATTACAATAAGCATGAGACTCAGGGAATGGGAATAGCAACTATATTGAGAATGAATGGTAAGTTCCTGCCCTCAGGTAATTCGCATAGCATACCTTAGGAATGTTCCTTTCTCCAAGTTAGGAATCACTTTCTTTGTAGACACTTAAGAACTGCCCTCCTGCTCTTTATCTTGCTCAAGGGAATCGGCCAAAGGCCAAACTATTTCACTGCAAGTCTGTGGTAGCACCTCTTTCTTGGAAGAGTGGTGCCATTGTCGGTTGGACAAAACATCTTTTTTTCTGTTTCACGTGAGCTCAGCCCAGCATTGAAGGTGGTTTGTTTAATTTCCAATAGAGAATGACAGAGGGCCAGAGTTCTCTCCCATCATGTCAGTCCTGAAAGCACGGGGATAAAACAAACCTACATATTTTTTTTCATACTTAATATGCCTGGGAGGACAGTGGGCTTCTTGTCCAGCTGCTTACATTGGCCAAGAGCCCCCTTTATTGTCCTGGCTTTCTTGGGCCAATGATTTCTCAGATTCCATGCTTAATACTTATTGAACATCATATCCCTTCTACATCTCCTGAACTCCCATCCTGGAATCTGGACTTCATGTCACTTCCTCTTTGCACTTATGATCACAAGTGTTGTGTGGAGCAGCTTGCTTCTGGGCAGAAGAGTGTGGCATGAAACAAAGGAACCCTTTCCCCAGCATAACCATTTCTTTAAGGTTCCTTCGAAGGGACTTCTGGGCTATTTTCCCACGTAGCTGCATAGAGTATGAGTGAAAGCAACTGGCTGCCAGGAGTGATACTTGAGTTGTTTGTACCAGAAACCCTGGCACTAGCAAGCTTTTCATCCAGAGCTTTCGAGTCTGTGTCTCAACTAAAGTGGCTCATATATGCATCAGAGAAAGAACCTTCAGTTCTACTGTCCA